TTATGATGATGGTAAGTAATAATAATGATGATAATGGTAACAATGATTAATGATAATAATACTGATAATGATGATGATGATGATAATGATGATGATGATAAAGATGATGATGATAGTAATAATAATAACATTAACCATACTGTTCACACTGATAATGATTGTAATATCAATTATAACAAAAAATGGATGGTAAGAATGATAATGACAGTAATAGCAAAATAATAGACAATTTGCATTAATCGCAAAAGAAACTGATCCAGAAACAGACAACTAAACAAACAACCGGCAACAAATCAACGAAAGAAAAAAAGAAAATTACCACAACTGTCGATATCAGTTCAAAAGAATTCTTTCCGGCAACGATCGGAAACAACAGGACCATTTAACTTAAAGGTTAATTTTTGGTTAGTCTTTTTTCTTTTCTTTTCTCCATTAGCGTTTCTCATCCGTGACGAAGAACTAAAGAGGAACAAGACATAAATTTATCGATGATTTTCTCCTATAGCTAGCATAGGCGAGAGGAATCGCAAGAGAAAAGGATTCGATACGATATTTTTTTTTAAGAAATCGAAATGTAATCCTCCATATCTTGAAAAGACGAGGGAAAAGCACAAGAGGAAAGGCTTGAATACGACATTTATAAGGAATCGTTATCTATGAACGGATATATACTAGAGAAAAACACGTACACAAAAAAAAGGGATTGAGTACGACATTTATAAGGAATCGAAATATATGAGCGAATGGACACTATAAAAAAACAAAAAACAAAAAGAAAAAAGGATGGGATACGACTTTTATAAAGAATCGGAATGTATGAACGGATTCATACCATAATCGGGTCACGGTCTATAGCGGCTTAAGTTAACAGGAACGTTAACGAATATATCACGGTCGCTCAACCGGACTTCCACGGGTTAAAAAAAGGAAAAAATCTGTTCCCTAAAATCTTGGCATTTTAACTGTTGTCTTTGTGTAGGTATGAATGTATGTGTGAATCTTGGTATGTATGCATGTATGTATGGATAGGTGGATAGATGAATATACGTATGTATGTAGATATGCATGTATGTAATTATGTATATATACATTTACACATACGTACGCACGTGTAAATGTATGTATGTAATTATGAATGTATACATTATACGTACGTACGTGTAAATATATATATGTATGTATGTATGTATGTATGTATGTATGTATGTATGTATGTATGTATGTATGCATGTATGTATGTATGTATATATATGCATGTATATGTAAGTATATATACATGTATGTGCGTATGTCTGTATGTATGTATGTATGTATATATGCATGTATATGTAAGTATATATGCATGTATATGTAAGTATATATGCATGTATGTGTGTATCAATATACCATGCCAGTAGTAATGCAAATTACTACAGGCATCTGTATCAGTTCATCTGTGCTTTGTCACACAAAGCTTGTAATTATCAAATCACAGGAAAGACGGGGGATCTTATAAAACACACACACATCTACACAAAACATAACATAAAAACCTATTTTAAACTAAATTATAACAAATCGGACAGCGCCCCTGAACACACGTTCGAACACCAGCTGCTACGACATAACCTGCGAATTTCCATGTCAATTAGCTATGCAGGTGTCACGTTGGCAGCGCTGCGTGGAAGATGATTTCGGCGCACGCAATGGGACACTTAACGATGTAAAGGGAACTTAAAGCCAAAAAAGCGTTGCAAATGTGCTGCCTTTATCACGGCCGAAGACATGGTCGGGGGCGTTCGCGTGCCGAGACAACGGTGTTGGTTGTTTAACCGTTCTCTGGATTCAAGAATAGGGGAATAAAGGAATATGTGATAAGAAGATGAGGAATGAGGAGACGCGTAACTAAAGATAGGAGGAGAGAGATGAGTAAATTATAAGGAAGGAGATGAATTGGAAATTTAAGAGAAGTATAAATAAAGAAAACAGGAAAGAAAAAAATGAGATGAGAAATGAACGAGAAGACTGAGACAGCAGAGATGAATAAGAAAGTAAGAAAAAGAGGCTAAGAAGAGAAAGATATCAATGAGAAATACAAGATGAGACTGATGAATGAGTGCAAGCGATTCGTAAGGAGAATAGAGAAACATAAACAGATCGGGAATAAATGAGAGAAGGTTAAGAGGAGAGCGAACAGAGAGATAAACAAAAGGAACATATAAGTGCAATGAGAGAGACGCATAAGAGGAAATGGGTAAGAAAGAAGGAAAATGTAATAAGAATAATGTATGGTGAGAAATGCATAAGAATAAGAAGAGAACTAGATGAATATGGTAAGAGATATATTATATATAGAACTAAGATGAGGAGAGTAATAAGAAAAATGTGTCAGAGGAATAACAGTGATGAAAGACAAGTAAAAAAGAAAACAAAAGCTAAAATAAAATACTGTAGCAAATTGTAGGATTTTGCTATCTTGCTGAAACAAATAAGGTTTACTTGTTTATTTTTGCAAATCGTTTCTTCTTTAAGCGAGTAAATTCTGGGAATTCGGAGTCAGTATAAAAGAGATAAGGAGGAGGTGGGGGGGGGAGCAGGGCAGGGGACAAAAGGATTAGTTATCTAGAGCCATGAAGAAAATGAAATAAACAAAGTAAAGTGATGGATAAAGAAGGATAGCAAAATAAATGACAAGTGGAATTATTTTATGAAAAAAATATAGCTTGATAAAGTAGACAAAATGGCAGGAAATTTGTATAACTTTTTTTTTTTTTTTTGTTTTAGTTACACTATCACAGGAATGTATGAGTAAGAGCAAATAATTGACCATGATTAGCATGTTCATGTATGTGTCACTATATATCGTAAAAGAGTGTCTAAATACGTATATCTTACTAGTGTCCTTTATAAGTGTATGGTTTTGTTTGTACCTTGATGACAGCATGGATTACATTTTAAAATTTTACTGATGCCTTTCACCCGTAATTCTTCCCAATAAGTTGCAGGCAGAATGTATCGTTCTTTCCTAGCGGATGTCTTTACCCCTCCGCCCCTCCCCTGCTCCCCCCCACCCCATCTCTGCTGTCTCCGACCCAAAGGTTTCGTCTGCCTTTTGGTAGAATATTCATCATTTC